AATGAAAACAGTTATATGAGCTTTGTGTTGATAAATTGGTCATTGCTTGGGTACTGTTGTAGGAATCTGACTGCAATTAGCAAAGCCTATGTTTGAGTCCAGTTTTATCCCTAATTTAAGAACTGAAGTGAGCTTGAAGCCTTACAAAGTAGAATAGATCTCACTGGGGAAAGAAAAAATTAAATTTTTACCCGCAAATCAGTCATAATTTGCAAAAAAATCTTGAAGAACTCAAATTCATTTTATAAAATATTTGATTCATTTTTCTGTATTATACTTTTGAGACAACCATTCACAAAATAATTTTTTTAGAAATTTGAAAATCCATATGATGAAAATCCTTCTAAATAGTTTGTGGGTTTTGTCGCACAAATACATAAGAAAGAAAGAAAGAAAGAGAGAGAGTTTGGTTCCTCTCATACCTTGCTATTTGATTGAGATATCAAAAATACCATGAACACCTTTTTTTGCCTACAAAATTATCCAGTCCAGGTTTACTAGTAACTGAGGTACTAGTAGGTAACTTCTTCATGTTTTCTTTTTAATTAAATATGACTTCTCAGTCTTTTCAGATTGATCCTGTTCAGCTAGAAACATGTATTAAAAAGGGGGCATTTGTTAAACATTTAAATTCAACAGTTGTCAGCATTTTTGATGAAATTTAGAGGATTTGATTGATTTTGTTAGCTATTTTTGCATGCACTTATTACCATCTCCAGAATTATTAGCCTTTTCCTCCTGAAATGTGTAAATTCGTTGAGTAGAGTTACCAGTGTCCTAGGAGCACTGGGAACGCCCTGGGAACACTTGCTAGGTTCCACTGGTTGTATTCTAGGGAAGTGTTATGGATAAAAACTGGGAAAAGAAACATCTTGACCCCAAGAGTGATGAATCATGGTATATCTGAATCCACCTTGAGAACAGGAACTTGATTCCAAGCTGGAAAACTGTGGGTAGCTGACACGGGTTAAAACAGAGACATTCTGAAAGGCAGGAATTTGCAGGTCTCAAAGTTCACTGGGCATATTTGTTATTGTGTTTGTAACCAGCCCAGTGTGTTGCTGGTGCAAGGTGTATGAGGGCCATTGCAGTATTACACAAAAAAAGGCCATAAAAACACTGTGCAATGAAATTTGTGCTGTTCTGAAATGCCTTGATGTTACCATCAACTGAGATGCTTCCCATTCTCACAACTTTTTTAAGCAGGCATCTAAACTGATAAATTTCTTTTCTCCATGGTTAGGTGGAGGATGTGCAAAGCCATTTTTTATAGGAAGACTTGAGTCCATAATAATAAAATAAGGTTGATTTTAATACTTCAAAAAGTCCTTACTTCAATTACTTAGTGTACGTTTCTGTGGGCTCTCTGTTCCTATTTCTTTTCCCTTTTTCACATAAATGGGTGTGGGATGGGATGGAAGAAGTTCAGGTATTATAATGTGCATTCCAGGGCTGTTTGTGCTGAGCTGATTTTAATGTCTACAGGACTAGGGTCAGAAAAGCCAGTTTAATTATGTACAAACATCCAAGAGCTATAGACAAGAACTCCAGCTACTGATAAAAGTAACCCCAGCACTGATGAGTGTTGCAAAATAAAGATCCCCCAGAAACCCAGTTAATGGCATCTTTGTTCCCAAGCCCTGACTTTGTGGAAGTCCTGATACTTCAGGTTTAAAAATTAACAATGTGGACCTGAAGTGAAAAAAATACTTTGAAAGTGGGGATGAAACAAACTCTTCCCTTTTCATCTTCCCCAATGATTTACAGGCAAACACCACCCCAGGCAACTTCCGAACTTCCATAATTGCATTGAATTCCTTGTTAATTGGGTTTTTCTCTTGCTTTTGAGTTCTTTCTTGAGTAATGCTTGCTTTATAATGATTTGTGTGCAGACAATAAATGTAGAGATTTAATAGGATGAAGGCTTTGGCTCCATATAAAGGTATTTAGTCCTTAACTCCCATTGAAATCAATACCTTTCCAATTATCATTATGACTTAAAATTAATATCCATAAAATAGGATTATTATTAAAATGTTTGAGGGATAAAAAGAGAATAAAAATACTGTTCTCCTCTAAAGGGATTGTGAAAATTGTATCTTTAGAATTGCATGGTAATTGTTCCTGTAACTTGATGCTTTTTATATCATATGTGCTCAATTTGAAAATAAGAATTTGGTGACTGACTCTGGAAACTAGGAGGGAAACTTTCTCCATTTCACAAGTTAAAAAACCCTGTCTTTCATCAGACTCTTTATGATGCCTGCTCCTCCAGAGCAAGTGGGGATAACAGCTTGTTTGTGATTCACTAGAAGGTAAAGAATTGAAACTATTTTCTCTAAGCAAAGCAGAGATAAGTTGACTAAGGAGGAGTGAGCAGTATCTTTTGCTCTGAAAGAGGCTGTGACACAATTAATGAGGGAAGTGGAGCTGCTGTTTTTTTCCCAGAGCAGAGTCAGAGGTTCAGGGATTTTGGCTGGTTCAGGAGTGCTGGCAGCAATGTCAGCATCAGCAGGGATGGGTGGCCACCACAGTTCTGGGACCTGGCCAAATCTGCAAATTGCATCCCATCTCTCATGAGTGCATTTACCCTTGCTAGTTTTCATGCACATCATGCTGTTACTGAAAGGAACAGCAAAAGTACCCAGAAGTCTAAAGTCTAACAAGGAAAGGCAGTTTGCTCTCTAATGCTAAACAAATGTAATGATCAGGAGCATCCATGCTTGGTACTGGAGTCTAACCGTGAGTGATTGAGGTTGGTGGGACATTACTGGTGGCCTAACAACACTGTCAGCAAAAAAGGGAGATGAGCAGTCATTGGCAGAGGCTGCTGTCTTTTAGTGCACATAGTGATAGTCCTTCTCATGCAAATGTGGCTTTCTTAAACAGAACAGATTCTGGTTATGTTTTCTGTTGGTTTTAGATTTGAGGTTTTTAGGTTTTTGGTTTTTTGTTTTTGTTTTTTTCATAGTAGATCTCATTCCCGTGTAGGACCTCAGAATAAAGATTATGTTCAGAAATCTTACAAAAGCACAGTCACCCATATATTTTATCCTTTATCCCATCATCAGTCATCTTTTCCCTGTTTTTGCATTTGTTCAAACTCTCTTGCTGTTAAACTGTTTCCCTGCTATTAGATCTGAGCGGGGAAACTGTTTTATCTACAGTTGCATGCACTGTCCAGTGGTGCAAACCCAGTAACAGGGCTGGGGTTAGGACTCACACATAAATCTTTCTGAAATGAGATAGATGTTCTCAAAAGTCACAAACAGGCAGATGGCTGAGGAGATGGTGAGGACATGATCCTTTCAGTTCAAAGTTGTCTGACCTAAATCAGAGTTTCTGAATTTAGATAAACTAGCCTGACTACATCAGAAAGATGCTAATGTAACAACAGAAACCTTTATTTTAAGCAAGATACACTCTAGGCTTTGCTGAATACTGGGCTGATTTGACAGGGTTTGCATGTTGTCTGTACCTTTTCTTGCTGCTGTTTGTTGGTCCATTCCAAAATTCCCAGCATCATGGTCAGTAGTTTCCCTTTTCGTGAAAGGTGTAAGGAATGTTGGCCAACACATATTCATGGAAAGATGTTCCACATGGCAGAAACTGCTGTCTCAGAGGGCTGGTAGAGAGGTGAAAGAACTGTCTTTCTGTGTCACCATAATCCTCTTCAAGAGTCTTTTGACATTGTTTTTACACTTCCTATTATAAGACTCAGCTTCTAGAGTCCAGGGTTGAAGCTGTGTTTCTTTCTTTGGGGTCAATAAATGTCTGGTGAAACACTCCCAAAAAAACCATTCTGTCACAAGAGTATGAGGAAAGGATGGAATGTGCTGTCAGTTATTCCCTGACCTTGAGGAAGATCATCTGCATCTCCTAGCACTGGAGCTGGTGATAGTGGTTGGCAGATATCATTCTTCCTAACAGAATTTCTGAAGATTATATCCAATCCAAACACACTTCTTAGATATTTACTTATCAAGAAAATTATTTGCAATGTGCTCGCTGTTTGTTTTCAACTGAAATCTTTGAGCAGGGCCTTGAATATATAAAGTCTGGTATAATTCTGAGTCCTCTGCAAAAAATGAGTCCATGTGATCCAAATTAAGTATTCAGTTTTCAGTCTGATTTTTTGGCCCTGAGGAACTCATGTGGGACAATGTTATTCCTGCAAAAGAATTTGCTGAACTTGAGTTGTGCAGTGTTTGCAACTCAGTCAAAGCATTCATGATTAGAATATATGGACCATAACAAAATTATCACCCTTTTTTTCTATGAGGATTTGAATACTGCTTATTTAATGTCTCTCCAGACCACGGGTCAATCAATGAAATTTAACAAAATATCAGTGCTTGAACTTCTTGAATGTCTGTTTGTGCATAGGCTGAAGAGGAGTTCCCATGGAAATACTGTGTGACTAAGTAATTAAGAACTCTAGCATATTCCCTACTCATTGAAAAAAATAAAAGTTGCTCAGGAAGGCTAAAAACTTGGCTTTTTTGATGTTAATATTCATCACATAACAGTCTTAATAATGCTCTTTTTGACAATATGTTTATTTTAAATATTATAGAAAGTAAAGTAACTGTATATTTCAGTTCCTTGAAGAACATTTAATGATAAATACTTTTCACCATCTGAACATCTGAGTATCTTATATTGATATCATTATGATATAATGATAGTTATACGTTTGGATTTGAATAAAAATATACAAAAGTTGATACCACCTATGTAACAGATAACCTCAAACATTTCTTTGCTCATCATGGTTTGGTATGGCTGTTGGGTTTAGTTCTGTTTATAAGTTAATCCTGCTCCACAGTCAGGAATCTTCTGAACAAACAGGGACCTGCTAGATTTTAAAAGGCTTTTCATTTAGAATGATATTGCTGCTTGCATTTTCTATATAGGAATAACCACTCATTACTAAATTTTTCATCAAAAATATGAGAAAGATAAATAAATTATAATGAAGTTTTTTTTCTGCTTTGCAGGTTTCTTTTACAATGCGTTTTGCTCCGGCCAGTGAATTTTGTTTAACAGGTAAGCAAATATTTACAGTCATACTTTTTTTCAGAAAAAATGTTTCCCAGACATTTGACAACTAATTCTGAGAGACTGGTGTTCTGAATTGTTGGATAAAATTTGCAAAATCTATTATAAATATATTCAAAAAGCTTTTGTTAGTTTTTCATTTAAAAAACGCAAAAGCAAGACAGTTGCAATTTTAAGAGTGTTATCATTTTCAATTAGGAAATTTACCACATTTTCCAGATGTTTGAACTTCTAGTGTTTCTCTCCCTTCTTTTCTTTTCTCCTTGTTTCCTCACGTTTTACATTGATATATATGGGCTTTTTTTTTTATCAAAGTCTTACAAGTGGAACGTTTTTTTTGCTATCTATTTCCTTCTACTTACCAGAATTTCAGCATTACAAACAAAACCATCTGCTGAGAACTCCAGGGATGTTATTGGTATTTTAACACCATGGGAATGGCAAAGCAATGCTCTAGTGACTGTTGGGAAGTAGAGATGGCTTTGGAAATTTATAAACACCATTTCTGAAATTAACAAAATACAATTCAGAAATTAATGAATTTAGAGGTAATGATCTGGTTTCATTGGAATAAAAAAAATTAAGGTAAAGCACCAACTTACACTCTTGCTGTGCCTAGGTTCATAGGCTGAATTCTGTGTTTTACCAGTGGAATTTCAGTTTGACTGGCTGTTTTTGTAGGTAGTTTGCAGAAAGCACCTTTTTTGTCCACCTCTTTTATCATTATGAGAGAGATGGGCAATATTATTTACATGCAGTGCAGCTTTAATATTGCCTACATACATATGATATTTTTTATCTTTTTTTTATAAAATGTGGACAACTTGAATTAAAGTTGCTATTTTGGATGGAATATTATGTTCACAGTATATAGACATAGTTTGCCTTAGATTAAAAGTTTTTGTGCTTTTTTATAGGCTTATCTTAGCCCTGGCTAGAATAACCAAAACCAGTCAAAATAATAAATAAGATCATGGTGTTCCTTTGCAAGTATTTTTCTTATTTTATGTTAAAATAGTCCATAGCTCTACCTTTTTTGTCAGTACTGGTAATCTCACCTTTAATTTAGATAAACTGTTCTTTGATCATCCTCTCATTATTCTAACTTCTTGACATTGGGTTTTTCTGTGGTGCTGCCAACACTTAAAAAGCCTTTTCAGTCTCAGTTCACCAAGGAGAAATTTCATCCCTTTGAATGTTCTCCTGAAATTTTTTTTAGACAAATTGCTCCCAATACCTTTTATGTCCTCTAAAAAATGGATATTTGCTTCAGCATGTGCTGCCTTTTGGGTGCCTAGTGGGATATTCCTGGGTTTTGTTTGCAAATTAGTCTGCAATCACACTTGCAAAGAAAGAGAAAATCTTGGTTTAAAATTACCTAGTGATTTCAAATGTTAGTCTTAAGAACTTTTCAAAAGATTTTCATATTAAAAGTTTGGACTACTGATCAAAGAACAACAACAAAAAAATCCCCAAAACAAAAAAATATTCTTTTCACCCCCAACATCTGGGCTCCCTTTTTCTGGGTCTTTTGCATATTCAAATTAGTAATTTCTCCAAGATTCATTATTCTGGTATTTTATTATGATATTTTGTTCAAAAAATTGCTAGATATAATTATTAACAATAAATGAATCCATTAACTTTACCAGCTCTAGCAAAAAGATGGCTGTTGATACTGTCTGATCTTTTTCTTCATATGTAAAGATGTTTCCATCACCAGAATTTGTCATGGTGTTTGCCTTACAGATATAAACTGTAATGCAATTTTAATGCTTTGATTGATTTGAAATAATAATTGGTTTATTTATCAATATGAGATATCCAAGAAAACAAATCATTATGGCTAAAATAGCTAATTTAATTTATTTTTTAATACCCTCTCTTTAAATATCATTAATAATTTTTCTGAAACAAAAAAATCAATGTAATTTAGAAAGATTTCCCCAAACATGTCTTTGACAGGATAATTTTTTTAAAATTACTTTAATTAAAAGAGTGAAATAAAATTCATCATCAAAATGTTATTTTCTGTGAACAAATTACTCTCTCCCACTTCAACCCTACACCTTCCATACTTTCTTTCTTTGGCCACCACTCTCAAAGATTGCCTGGTCTGTGTTTCTGGATAAAATATGTCTAGCAGTCAGTGACATTTTTTTTAAGAAGCTAAGTCCAAAGGCAGAGATTAGATCCCCCAAAAAAATTTCATACAAACTGGAGAATCTCAAGAAGTGGTCCAAGATGATCTTTGAGATCCCTTCCAATCCAGGCCATCCTATGATTTTATGATTCTCTGAACTGTTTGCTCTCCTTACTGACTTTGTTTATGGCCTCCTTTGCCCTTAATAGTGATGCTTGTAGGCTTTATGAGGTACAATGGAAAATGAGCAAAAAAAAATGCTACAAAAAATGAGGTACAAAAAAAATGAGCCACAATGGATACTTCTGCTCCATGAGTACAACATATCTTTGCATGTACTCCCTAAATTTCAATGAATTAATTGTATTATTGTGAATATTTATATGCAATGAACATGTCTGTGATGAAGTAAAAGGCTTGGCTGAATCAGGTGATGACCAGCTCAACATGGAGGGCTGTGCTGGTCTTCAACACTGGTACTGAAATGCAAGCTGGTTTGGCACCTTTCATTGCTCTTTACCAACTTAAAATGTGAATCAAAGTATTCTAAAGATTATTCAGGTTTTTGGTGAGCCCCTGATTCTGTTTATATTTATAGGGTAGGACAATGTGAGCCTGCAAGGCTTCCTGCTGACTGAGATACTGGGGTGCTGTTGCCATACTGTCCAAAAGCAGAATTTTCCAGAGATATTTGATCAGCAACAATTCTTACAAGAATTAGCACTCTGACAAATAGCTATATTTTAAAGTTTGTCAGGCTACTGAAATTCTCAGAGGCTTTGAAAGTCTTCTAATAGTATGGTTGCATTGTTATTACACAATTTCTATGCAGTACACAAATTGAGAACCAGAAATTATCTATAATATAGAAAATCCAACAGGAAAAGGCTTACTTTTTAATTTCTTAATTTTAAATGTTTTAAACAACTGGTGGTATCTTGTATTTTCATTTCAAGGAGTAAATTTGAATTCCATATGAAATAATAAGAGCTCTAAATAACTATTTTGAGGCAAAAAATATCTTAGAAGTGTATTCCATAATAGCTCTGGTAAATGGCATGGCAATTCTTTCAGAAGTTTTTTATACTCCAATGAGGCCTTTTGAAATGCTCAGAGGTTTTAGCAAGTTAGAACTATTGTAGCTCATCAAATTACTGGCAGATACAGAACAAACTCTAAGGAACAGCCATTGTGAGTGAAAATTGGATTCACAGTTTTCACAAGCAGAATCTGGTTGCCAGTGTTACACTTGAACAAAACCACAGGATTCACCTAATTACACTCCACTCAGGTCTCAGATGCATAAGGACATCTATTCACAAATTACAAATCAAAAGTCATACAAGCTGGAATTAAATAAACCAGTGGTTCTCTATAATTGTACTTCACTTGAACCTCCTTGTAAATACTTGGTCCTGGCTCTCTCAGAAATACGGCTCTGGACTTAGGAGCCCCAGGTTTCATCTCATGTTATAGTTTCTATATTGCTATTATTCTGAAGTCTTTGTATGGCATAAAACTGTGTGTTTGTTTCTGTGCACAGGGATAAATTTCATACAGGATCAGTACAGATGAAATAATTTCAGTTTGCCCCTGAAATCTTAACAGCCATAAAAAAGCAGGAGTAATTTCTTCACCAAGTCTAGGGCTTTGCATACATTTGTACTCAAAATTCCACAAATCTCTGAGTGAGTGCAAAAAGTCCATTAAAAGGCAGCACTTTTATTTTTTAAAAAATGCAATTCCGTTCATTTGATTAAATATTTTGACTACTGAAAATAACTTAATGCAGAGAAAGTTTTCATAATGCCCAGTAGTAAATAATTGCTCTTCTGGGCCCTTTGTTTTAATTGGTGACAAGAATATACGAATATGTGCATTTTTTGAGAGAGGTTTAAATTTGTTAGAAGGGCTGTTTCTTTTTCAGCTTGGATGTGCAAGAATATGAATTTTAACACTAGTGATTATAAAAAGGTGTCTTGAGGGTTTTGCTGTTGTGGCATTTCATTTACTAAGAGGGTATTTTTCTTCTGTTTGTATCAGCAGTGGAAGACCCCAGAAGTGATACTAACTTTGCATATATATTTTTGTTGGCAGTATTTTTATTTAACTAGTCCTAAATTCACTTGCATTTTCATTTCTTATGTGGCAATATCTGCTGGTCAGCTGTACTAAATCCTGGGGATGATTTGGATGGAAAATCTCTCCAAGTTTTTTCTGCTACTCAGGGGCTTTCTTCAGGGTGTTAGCACACATAACCTCCCTTTTCCTAGCAGGAGGTTATCACCAGAAATTCCCCCTCTCTTTGGCCACAGGTTTGATGTGTGCTGAGTCAGATCCTGCACCTACACAGTTAAAACACAACTTTAGGTGGACCCAGCCCCTCCTGTGCAGATCTCATCCTGGCAGGGAGAGGAGCTGCCCCTGAAGAATAAAAGTAGTGTGTGCTTCACTCCCTGGGAGAGAGCTGGTTAGGGAAGGCAAATCCAGCCTTTATTCCTGGATCAGAGCTGTTGTCCTGGCCCACTGTGTACACTTGAGAGGTCAGGATCCAAACCCTTGTCTCCCTTCTTTCCTTTCTTAAAGGAAAATAAGATTATTTAGGGATCATTTGAAATTAAATACAGCCTTAGAATAGTAGTTGTATTGGTAGTACAATACAATAGTATCGTAAATAGTTCTGATGGGTGTGGAATACCTGGTGTCACTTTTTGTGCTGTGCCTGCAGACCTGGGAAAGCCCAACCATAGAGCCTTAAGCTAACTAACCAATTAAAATGTTTTTAATATTCCTTATGCAGAGTTCCATACAATGTTGTCAGAGTACACATATATGGGCTCTGCTC